ATATCTTCAGAATTTTCTGTGACTGTACGTCCTCGCCTGGTATCTGTATCTTGTATTTTGCTGTTTCCGTTTTTTGTCGTTGAAGCAATATTTTTGTAGTAGCATTTCCTTGGTGCTTTAGTGTTGTATAAAAGTTATGGTAGATGGGTGGTATAAAAGGAAGAAGTTGTTGAAGGTTTTCATATTTTGCTGTCTTTATAAGTGGTGGTGTAGGGTACAATAAGCTAAGTTCATAATGAGTATTTGGACGGCCCTTTTTCTGCTTTCTTAGATCAAATTCAACAAAGTCCATGTCCTCAAAGCTGTTCTTGTATAAAAGAGTATCCGGTTTATCTTTCTCCAGTCGGAACCATTGAACATTGCGTAACCCTGGAATAGAGGCCTTTATGCTTTTTTTCATAGGTTGAACTGACATAAAGTTTTCAATGGCCATTCTTACAACTGTAAACTTCCGGCTTGCATGCGCCACTACGTTGAACCGGTCATCCGGAACAAAAATATATTGGTTTTTCTTTTTGGACTTTTCAATAATCCCGAAGTCTTGATCGCATTCCATGTAAGAGTGCCCAGAAATCAAAAATTTATGGTCTATTCTCTGAATAGATGTTGTCTGAACAATATGCCTCCAAAATTTAATAATGTTGTTATTTTTGTTTTGGCCGCCTACGTCATCGCTAAATGCTATAAGATGTTCTATTGAATTAGGTAGTTGTTGAACATACCTAATTAGGCACGACCCGATTTTTTGGGATCCCCTCGATGCCTCACCTTCGTGCCACATAAACATTGAGGCTTGATTATTAGCAAGATCATGCACTGCAAAATTGTACGTCTACAGTTGCCTGAGATAGTAAACTTTACTGCAGGTTAGTACAGGTGTGGGGAGAGGTTTTTCAAGATCGAAACATATTGCTTTTACAGTAGTTGCGTTATCCTTGGCAAGTTTCTTGGCATCATCTTTTTCTGATCTAGCTTTCTCCGCTTTACGTAAATGAACATCTTTCTGGATTTTACTGTTTTTCACCACCTCGGCATTAGGATCGTTATTTATTTTGTTTTCAAGTGCATCGCATGTTGTACACGTATCAGTGTGAGGCCGTTTGAAACTGAGACTGAATTGTGGTGTAAAAATGAATATATAAAAACTCTCCTAAACAGTATGTTGAATATTATTTTCATGGCAAAACTCCAAAAAAAGTGTATACATTTTGTGAATATTCAGTTCGCCTGAGAGATATTTTGTCTGTGGATTTTTGTTTCTTGAATAATGGCTTGAATATTTCGGGAATGACCGAATATGGGCCTTTATTACTCTAATATCATGTTCTGAAATCTTATTTGCTGGGATGTGTCTACCACGTTGGTCAGTTGGAGCTACACCTGAAGGTTTTCTGTTCTTTAAAACATTGTCATACCTTTTTTGGCTTATGGTCAAAGTTTTCAACACAAATAGTTTGCAAACTCTTTTACCCTGTAGTTTTATTTTGACGCTAACCTGTTTACGCGGCCCAACTTCTGCCCTTCTTTTGGCAGGTACTAGTGTTTGCATAGAGGAATTTAAAGATGTCGTTTGTAGATTCCATGAACCCAAATTCCAATAGTCTTGAAAGATTTGTTGACGATCTTCATCCTAAAAACTACTACATTCATATCGACATCGATGGCCTGCTAGCTGTTGAACGCTTTTAGACTCCTTAAACACTTTCCTATGACCAATATATTCGTCAATTGGGGCTCTCTATTTTTTTAAGAGCGATTTAATGGAATAACAAATTAAAGAGAAACAGAAATAAGCTATAAATCGCTCTTAAAAAAATTAGGGAGCTTTAGTTTTGAAAAACTAATAACGGAATCCGACAACCGACATTATTTGACATATTTTGGTAAAACCCGCCTTGAAATCCGCGAGGTCGTTTTTGAAATAACTGCATCCTACTAAACCGCTATTTTCCGCGAAAGTATATGGAATATCGAAAAAATAAAATATGCCCCACATTAAGAACACATCGGTTTACAACCAGTTCAAATTAGAAATTTTTTCGTCAAATAGAAAATCGCAAAGTTGACAAAGTTGCCGGCACACTCTAAAATCGGGTGCTTTTTTCATTTACTCGCGATAAAAAGAAAACCGCGGATCCGAAAATTTTCAAATTAACATATGTTACGTAGAAATGTTCAGTGATTACAACAAACTTTGTCGCAATTTTTTTACACATTTTTTCACATTCCTATTTTATAAAACAATTAAAGTTAATGTGGTAATGTGATGAATTGTGCTTATTGGACAATTATTACAAATTGTGAAACTAGATATTAAGTATGTAAGTTTGTATTTTAAACCAAACTTCGATCTTAATTGATGTAGGGTTTTTAGGTTAACTCAAATAAACTAACATGTATTATGCAGTGTTTTACAACTTTACTGTAATTACAAGAAACAACAAAATAAAATATAAGTACTATTCAAAGTATGCAGGTGATTATAACACCTTGTGTAACTACCTGAATAAGCACAACTTGTCGGTTTTAAACAATTTAACTAACCACGCTAACCACTAAAAGTTCCCAACAAAAATCCACGAACTGCCAGCCTCTCTCTCCGCGACTCCCTCTCGGTGTCACGAGACGAACCGAACCGACCAANGAAGCACATTCCTATTTTATAAAACAATTAAAGTTAATGTGGTAATGTGATGAATTGTGCTTATTGGACAATTATTACAAATTGTGAAACTAGATATTAAGTATGTAAGTTTGTATTTTAAACCAAACTTCGATCTTAATTGATGTAGGGTTTTTAGGTTAACTCAAATAAACTAACATGTATTATGCAGTGTTTTACAACTTTACTGTAATTACAAGAAACAACAAAATAAAATATAAGTACTATTCAAAGTATGCAGGTGATTATAACACCTTGTGTAACTACCTGAATAAACACAACTTGTCGGTTTTAAACAATTTAACTAACCACGCTAACCACTAAAAGTTTCCAACAAAAATCCACGAACTGCCAGTCTCTCTCTCCGCGACTCCCTCTCGGTGTCACGAGACGAACCGAACCGACCAAACCGGTACACTATCGATAACAGGGATCTTCTCCACCAACCGTCAACACTATTCGTATGGTGAATGTGTACAGACGGTCTAGTTTGAAAAGGCGTCAAACTTACAGCTAGTCATTAATTATTGTTAAGTCAACATGTAAACGTCGTACCAATTAATAAAATATAATAAATATTTTACTTTGAGTTTCATATAAAACACTTCTAAAATTCATAAATAAAGAGGGTTTATTACATGGCGGCCCTGCCAGTCGATATCGTCTAGAATTAAAAGAAAAAATATATATATATACATTATGGGTTACAACCAGAGTAAAGAAGAGAAAGAAGTAATTATCTCGCAAGCTGGAAATAGTGGTGGTGTATCAGCGTCAAATGGACATTACACATTGCAAGAATTAGCGATCATCATAGGGATTGTTTTGGCCATCGTTTTCGTAGTTTACATTATACAAAAGTAATGTAAGAAAAGTATGGAGAAGAAAATCCGTGTTGAAGTCGCAAGAAGCCAGGAGTTGCTTAATCTTAGAACAGAAAACTAAGGTAGGCGAACTATTATAATGTGTTATGGAAGATTTTGAAGCATTGTTAGTAGTAGTTTCTACTTTTAAATCGAATAGAATTAAGGATAATAAAGAAAGACGTAGTGATTTAGATAGAGTACGTAAACATTTAGATAAAGTAGATGAGTTTTGGAAACAATTAGCAGAGTTAAAAATTATAGCTAGTAAAGATAGTTCAAATGTAAAACTTATTGAGCAGATTAAAATGCGTAATGCAGCAATCGAAGGTATTTTGAATAAAACACGTGAACTGTTAGAAAATAGGTTAGCGATAGGATCAGAAATGGCTGAATTTTTTAACTTAAAAACTGCTGGTAGTTTACTGCCAGTTATGAATAGAAACGAAGATACAACAAAGCAGTTAATAGACTCAATTTTTAAAAACTAAACTGTCGGAATCTGCTAAAATAAGGTTAAATAAATCATATGCTAACGTGCAACTTTTATTAAATTACTTAAGACAAAATTTTATTACTCAACAATCTCCTACTGTATTGGCGAGTAAGTTACACAATTCCCGACAACTGGATCGTTCAGTTGAAGAGTATGGCAGAGAAATAGAGCAATTGCTTGGTGATTTAACGTTGGCTCAAGCAGATGGTAACGATGACCTTGTAAATTCTTTGCGAATAGTTAACGAAAAATTAGCAATTCATTCTTTTAGTAACGGTCTTAAAAATCATGATGTAAAAATGATTGTTAAGGCTAGAAATTATTCTACCCTCAAAGAAGCTATTAGCGTAGCTAAGGACGAGGATAAATTTAAACCTTCCTCATCAAATATTTTCTCATACAATAAAACAAGACCACCACAAAGAAACAATTTCAGAGGTAGTCGAAATCAATATTATCGTGGATTTGGTAATCAAAGATATCAAATCAGTCACACAATGATCGAAATTATAATGTGTACATTATAATTTCAATCATATTCAAATTCGAGATATAAAAATTATTATTCGCGAGGTCAACCACAAGGGCGTAATAATTTTCGTGGTAGATTTACCAATAGGGGTAACACGACTCCTAACCGAGGAAGAGCACAAAATGTGTTCTATACCGAGAGTGAAAAGCACAACACCGAGAGCGAAAATTCGCAACATATAAATACGTTTTTTCGAGAATGAACGGGAAAATACTATAATTTTAAGTATGGATGGTATGAATTATGTACGAATGAGATATGGTGTGAATGAATTAATTATTATTTCTTTTAGACACTGGCGCAAGTGTCAGCGTAATTTTTTTAAATGTTTTAAAGAAAACTGAATTTATTGATAAAAATAAAAAAGTCATTATAAACGGTATAGCTGGTTCAACAAAATCATAGGATCAGCAAATATTTCTTTAAAATTGAATAATGTTAAATTTATTCACGAGTTTTTAATTATGAAAGACTTTATGAGTGGTATAAATGGAATAATTGGATCAGATTTCTTTTTGAAACACAATGCTTGCATCGATTATGAAAAATTTACATTTTCGATTAATTTGGAAGGACAAAAAGTTATTATTCCGTTAAGGTGGGTCTTAGCGGTCCGTACCGTGGTTCAACTCGGCTCGGCGAAGCGTGGCTTCGCGCCGCGCTGTTCCGAAGCATCGTCTTAGCCGATTCTTGCCTTGCTTGACTTTTGTCGACGCAGCACGGTTTGCGCTAACCGAAAAATCGCCGGTTCGTGTTTTATTGTCAGTGCAGTACGGTTTTAACGGTTGAAGAGAAACATTGTTCACAAATGGAGGCCCAGACTAAGGAATTTTTTTTCCGGAGAAGAAGAATTTTATGTCTTAATTATTTATATTGGAAAGCAATAATAAGACGACGCGAGACGAAAGCGATTATTAGGAAAAGGAGTAGAGAAGGAGCATTTCACAATTTAACGGTGGAGATGCGATTGAGTGATCCAGAGTCCTTTTTCAATTTTTATCGTATGTCTCCTTCTTTATTTGATAAGTTGTTAGGATATATCTATAATGATATAAAGAAGGAAGATGTCCATAACGCAATAAAACCCTCAGAAAGGTTAGCGTTGACGTTAAGGTAAGATTTATGAGAGCAAAAAAAAATGTGTATGCATCTATATATGATGAATGTTATGATTTCTAGATATTTGGCTACCGGTGATAGTATGGTGTCATTGACCTACTTATTTCGAATAGGTAAGTGTAAAATTTCTTCTTGAAGCCAGCTTTGTATTACGAACTTCTAGGAAAAAGCACTGTCCCATACATTATAATGGAAGTGTGCACGGCCATATGGAAGCGATTATCAAACATGGTAATAAAACCATTGACAAAGGACAATTTCCGAGAAATTGCAAAGGATTTTGAAGAAAAGTGGAACTTTCCCCACTGCATTGGGGCTCTTGATGGCAAACATGTATTAATACAGGTTTGCATATCGATTAAAACCATCTATTAATATGTTAATGTAAACAATTATATTNTAGTTAACGAAAAATTAGCAATTCATTCTTTTAGTAACGGTCTTAAAAATCATGATGTAAAAATGATTGTTAAGGCTAGAAATTATTCTACCCTCAAAGAAGCTATTAGCGTAGCTAAGGACGAGGATAAATTTAAACCTTCCTCATCAAATATTTTCTCATACAATAAAACAAGACCACCACAAAGAAACAATTTCAGAGGTAGTCGAAATCAATATTATCGTGGATTTGGTAATCAAAGATATCAAATCAGTCACACAATGATCGAAATTATAATGTGTACATTATAATTTCAATCATATTCAAATTCGAGATATAAAAATTATTATTCGCGAGGTCAACCACAAGGGCGTAATAATTTTCGTGGTAGATTTACCAATAGGGGTAACACGACTCCTAACCGAGGAAGAGCACAAAATGTGTTCTATACCGAGAGTGAAAAGCACAACACCGAGAGCGAAAATTCGCAACATATAAATACGTTTTTTCGAGAATGAACGGGAAAATACTATAATTTTAAGTATGGATGGTATGAATTATGTACGAATGAGATATGGTGTGAATGAATTAATTATTATTTCTTTTAGACACTGGCGCAAGTGTCAGCGTAATTTTTTTAAATGTTTTAAAGAAAACTGAATTTATTGATAAAAATAAAAAAGTCATTATAAACGGTATAGCTGGTTCAACAAAATCATAGGATCAGCAAATATTTCTTTAAAATTGAATAATGTTAAATTTATTCACGAGTTTTTAATTATGAAAGACTTTATGAGTGGTATAAATGGAATAATTGGATCAGATTTCTTTTTGAAACACAATGCTTGCATCGATTATGAAAAATTTACATTTTCGATTAATTTGGAAGGACAAAAAGTTATTATTCCGTTAAGGTGGGTCTTAGCGGTCCGTACCGTGGTTCAACTCGGCTCGGCGAAGCGTGGCTTCGCGCCGCGCTGTTCCGAAGCATCGTCTTAGCCGATTCTTGCCTTGCTTGACTTTTGTCGACGCAGCACGGTTTGCGCTAACCGAAAAATCGCCGGTTCGTGTTTTATTGTCAGTGCAGTACGGTTTTAACGGTTGAAGAGAAACATTGTTCACAAATGGAGGCCCAGACTAAGGAATTTTTTTTCCGGAGAAGAAGAATTTTATGTCTTAATTATTTATATTGGAAAGCAATAATAAGACGACGCGAGACGAAAGCGATTATTAGGAAAAGGAGTAGAGAAGGAGCATTTCACAATTTAACGGTGGAGATGCGATTGAGTGATCCAGAGTCCTTTTTCAATTTTTATCGTATGTCTCCTTCTTTATTTGATAAGTTGTTAGGATATATCTATAATGATATAAAGAAGGAAGATGTCCATAACGCAATAAAACCCTCAGAAAGGTTAGCGTTGACGTTAAGGTAAGATTTATGAGAGCAAAAAAAAATGTGTATGCATCTATATATGATGAATGTTATGATTTCTAGATATTTGGCTACCGGTGATAGTATGGTGTCATTGACCTACTTATTTCGAATAGGTAAGTGTAAAATTTCTTCTTGAAGCCAGCTTTGTATTACGAACTTCTAGGAAAAAGCACTGTCCCATACATTATAATGGAAGTGTGCACGGCCATATGGAAGCGATTATCAAACATGGTAATAAAACCATTGACAAAGGACAATTTCCGAGAAATTGCAAAGGATTTTGAAGAAAAGTGGAACTTTCCCCACTGCATTGGGGCTCTTGATGGCAAACATGTATTAATACAGGTTTGCATATCGATTAAAACCATCTATTAATATGTTAATGTAAACAATTATATTATTGTAGGCTTTTCCGAATAGTGGTTCTGAGAACTTTAATTATAAGGGAACTCATAGTTTAGTTCTCTTAGCGCTATGCGATGCTAACTACAATTTTACAGTTGTGGATATTGGAGCTTCAGGTCGTCAAAGTGATGGTGGTATTTTGAAAAATTCAAAATTTGGTAGTGCATTGGCAACAAATATGTTGCCAATTCCCCCAAAGGAAGTTCTGTCGGGTTGTACAACACCGATGCCATACGTAATCGTAGCTGATGAAGCATTCCCACTTACGAATTACCTAATGAGAGCATACCCTGGGAAAAGAGGACCGTTAGAACATAAAAAGGAAAATTTTAATTTCCGATTATCACGGGCACGAAGGGTGATTGAAAATTGCTTTGGCATTATGTCAGCTCGGTTTAGAATATATCGGAAACCAATTTTATGTAATCGAGCAGGAGTTATCAGTATTATTCAAGCAACGGTGTGTCTCCACAATTATTTAAATAAATATTGTTCACGAAATATTTCGGGTAGAAATAATCGTGTGAATGCTTATAAGGAAATTACACGAACTGGAAGTAACACATATTCCCGTTCAGCTGAAAACATAAGAAATGAGTTTGCGGAGTATTTTTTAAAATACCCGATAGAACATGTCGAATAAAATATCATAATAAATTAATTATAAAAACACAGTTTAGCCGTTTTTCTTTCCTTAACTTTTTATATTATTTAAAAAGTATAATATTGTATTATAATAAAGTATAAGTATATTATAAGTGATATAGTTTATTAATAATTAATCGGGAAATATCCCATATTTACTTTTATAAAATATTTTATGCATCTCAAACATAAAATTATCCTGAGCTTGCTCCGGTAGTTGCATAACTTTTTTCGCCATACTCGCGAAAAACAGTTCAGTGCTGCTCATTTCAGGTGCAGCCGATGTTGTGGGCGGCGGTCTAGATAATTCCGCTCTCAACAGCTCTTCTATGGTATCTTTTGATTCTTAAATAGAAAGAAAGCTATCTAAGTGCATTTGTAAAATACATAAATCAATCTCATATAAAACTGAGAATTACTTTTTCGTGCAGAAGGTTTTGTACTCTGAGTTGGCAACGGTGGAAGAGGTGTTGGAGCTTCCACCACAATTTCATCGAAATTATTTCGGATAGGACCACTAGGAAATGGATTTTCAGCATTCTCGCACTCATTCTGAATATAAAAATGAATAGGAGTTTCTCCTCGACCGTCTTCATAACCTACAATAAAAAAACAATACAACAAATTTTTCGGCCAGGACAACATCTGAGATTTCTGGTTCCTAGTTATTTAAGATTTAAAAATTGAAAAATAATACTTACAACTTGGTGATTCCATTACTAAATTTGAAGTGCTTCCTTCTTGTGATAGGTAGTCCATAGTCGAAGGACCTTCATTATCATCCGCGTTCGTTGCATCAAAGTGCATACTTGTTTCCGTACTACAAATAGAAACATTACAATTAGAAATACATAAAAAATATTACTCATAAATGCCTCTTACATACTGTCTCCAACATAATTATCTAAAAATTGTAGATATTTAAAAAAAGGCCACTTCTTTGTGGAAGGTTTACCGCTTCCACTAGGCAGTTTTGTTTTCTTTTTTTCTGCAAAATATTTGTATCGCAGCGTTTTCCACTTTTGCATGCATTTCTCGGCTGTAAATAAAAGTTAATTATAATGTTATTCTAAATAAATTTTAGATTAGTTATCAAAATATACTTACTAGTACATCCCATGATTTTGGCAATCTCTTCCCACGATTTCTTGCGTAAGAAAACGTTTTTGTAATGTACTGATCTTACGTCGAACAACACCGGTCTTGCTTGTACTAAATTTACAAGTTTTTCAACGTTTTCCATCGTAAAAAAAAAGTTAACCTCAAATTCACTTAAACTCCACTCCACTGCGCTCGGCTCAGCTCGGCTACAAAAGTTGGATTGAACCAACTTTTGACGCCGAGCCGAGCTTAGCCACGCTGCCCGCACGGACACAGAGAATAGCGCGCTGTGATTGGTCTATTTGTTAAAAAGCCGAGCTGAGCTTAGCCGAGCTGAGGCACGGTATGGACCGCTAAGACCCACCTTTAGAATCAAAATATGACAGTTACGTTACAATTGCCCCGCGGTGTGAAATTATTAAATATTTTTGGACAAGCGGTTCCGATGATTGCGTAGTTTCATCTGAAGAAATTTCGGACGGTGTTTTTACTGCGAGTACTATCGTTAGACCAAAATCACATTTAATTCCCGTACGATTATTAAATACAAATGATAGACAAATTAAAATAAAAAATTTTAGACCAAACACTTTTAAGTTAGAGAATTTTCATATGTACACTATAGATAAAAATCAAAATTCTTTGAATCGCGTTGATAAATTACTAAAATTAATTAATTTACAAGATATGAATAAGCAAGAGACAGATAGTATTCATAAAATCTGTGCAAAATATGCGGATGTATTTCTTTTAGAGAATGATTCGGTAATTGTTACGAATGTAATGACAGAAAAAATTGTATTAAAACAAAACGCTCAACCAATCTATGTGAAACCATATCGTTTGCCTCATTTTCAAAAGACAGAAATTGATAAGCAGATTGATAAAATGTTAAATGATGGTATTATTGAAGAAGCCAAATCTAGTTGGTCTTCTCCAATTTTGATAGTGCCTAAGAAAACCAACGGCGAAAATAAAAAATGGCGACTTGTTATAGATTATAGATCTCTAAACAAAAATGTTGAAGATGATAGATTTCCGTTAGCAAATATTTCAGAAATTTTAGATTCATTGTCTGGTGCATTTTACTTTTCTCACCTAGACTTATAACAGGGTTATTATCAAGTAGAATTAGATGTGGAAAGTAGAAATTGTACAGCTTTTACGACACGTAAAGGACAGTTTCGAATGACAAGACTACCGATGGGTTTAAAAACCAGCCCTAGCTCTTTTTCAAGAGTAATGACCGTAGCAATGTCAGGTTTGAACTTTGAATCGTGTTTTATATACTTAGATGACTTGATTGTTTTTGGTAAAAATTTGCAAAACCATAACTAAAATTTAATTAAAGTACAAAGTTTAAGGGAAACCAATTTAAAATTAAATCCATTAAAATGTTCATTTTTAAAAAAGAAATAATGTACTTAGGTCATAAAATTTCATCAGCTGGCATATCTCCTGATCCAAGCAAAATTAATAATGTACAAAATTACCCAATTCCGAAAAATGCAGACGAAGTAAAACGATTTGTTGCTTTCGCAAATTATTATCGAAAGTTTATTAGAAATTTTGCCGAAATTGCAACTCCTTTAAATAAACTTGCTAGAAAATCTGTTCAATTTGAGTGGAATGAAAATAGTCAAAAGGCATTCAAATTATTGAAAGAAAAATTATGTAATCCACCCGTGTTACAATATCCAGATTTTTCTGAAAATAATCAATTCATACTTAGAACTGATGCATCCGGCTATGCGATCGGATCCGTTTTATCAAATGGTAATGATAGACCCGTAGCTTATGCAAGCCGAAGTTTAAACAAAGCTGAAATAAATTATAGCACAATTGAAAAAGAGTTACTAACTGTAGTCTGGTCAGTCAAACGTTTTCGTCCATATTTATTTGGGCGTAAATTTCAAATTTATACAGATCATCGCCCGTTAGTTTATCTATTTGGTATGAACAACCCTTCATCCAGATTAACAAAATTTAGATTGATACTTGAAGAATATGACTTTGTGATAAATTACGTCAAGGGGAAGGAAAATGCAACAGCAGATGCTTTATCACGAATTCAAATACAATCTACTGATTTAAAAAAATTATCAAATGAAATATTTGTAATGACACGAAATCAATCCAAAAGAAATGCTGAATTACCGAGTGACATAAGCAATGATAACAATGAACGGACTGGCCATCCGGGATTAGTCGAATTATTGAAAAAACCGCGAAATTCAGTCGAATTAAAAGAATTGAATAATATTACGTTTAATAAAGAAAACGAAAATATAATAACTTGATATATGACAAAAAATTAAATATAATATATATAAAAAGTAATCGATCGGCACATGCTCTAGATGCAGTGTTGAGATGCTTAAGTAATGTATGTAAAAGGTATGAAATTCCGGAAGTTTTTATATTAAAATGTGATGACAACAATAATTTAATTAAACAATTAGCAAAGGTACCAAAAATATTAAAAGATTGCAACATTAAAATCTCGATTATTGACAATGTAAAACGAATAGAGTGTAAAGAAACTCGACAGTTGATACTTAATGATTTCCATTTACTGCCCACAGGAGGACACGCAGGTGTAAATCGAATGTATGCAAACATCAAAAAGTACTACTTTTGGCAAAATTTAAAAAGCGATGTTGTAAATTTTGTGAAGAAGTGTGATGATTGTCAGAGGTATAAACATTCGCGATCGCACATAGAACCTCAGACCATCACCACTACTGCCTCGTCAGCTTTTCAAAAAATTTATTTAGATATCATGGGTCCCATTAATCAGGATGATGATGATAACAGATACATATTAACTATACAGTGTGAATTAACAAAATTTATAGAAGCATATCCAATTAAAAATAAAGAATCAGAAACAGTAGCAAAAGCTTTTGTAAATAATTTTGTGCTAAGATTTGGTATACCAGAAGAGATGGTAACAGATCAAGGTACAGAATTCTTAGCTCAATTATTCCGAGCAACTGCAAAATTATTAGGTATTAAACAACTTAATTCAACTGCATATCATCATCAAACTTTGGGATCACTGGAAAATTCTCACAAACATTTAGGCTCATATTTACGCATGCAAATTTCAAAATTTCCAGAAACGTGGAGCTCATGGGTACAATTTTGGTGTTTCGCATATAACAATAGTGTTCATACTGAAACGAAATACACCCCATACGAGTTAGTTTTTGGGAAAAAATGTAGCTTACCCAACAATATATTGCATAATTTAGATCCGATTTACAATTTTGAAAGTTATCCAATCGAATTGAAGTTTAGGCTTCAAAAAGCGTGGGTTGACGCGAAAGAAAATTTAGTTGAGTCAAAACTGAAACGCAAAATGAACCTTGATATTAAGAGTTCGAACGTTAATTTCAAGTTTAATGATAAGGTGCTGTTAAGAAATGAAAGCGGCAATAAATTAGAACCATTATATAAGGGACCTTATAAGGTAATTAGTGAAAAGGCGCCTAACGTTACGTTAAAAATAGATAATAAGTTAATAGAAGTACATAAAAATAGAGTTAAACCATCTGACGGTCCCATGTGTCCTCATTTCGCCCTTGCAGCTGGAGACGAATGCATTTCTTTAACTCTTGGATTCGTCTCTCGGCCGGGTTCGCCTGTGGATGGTGAATGGGCGTAGTCCAGTGGAGGCAGCCCCAGCGTCGGAGTGCCGAATCCCATTCTATGCTGGTAAATTGTGGTCCGTTGTCACTCAGCAGGGCGCGGGGGTAGCCAACGCGGGCGAAAACCTCTTGCTGGAGGAATCGGATGATCCTTCCGGCGCTGCTGTTCGGCATCGGGAGCGCTTCAACCCATCGGCTATATAGGTCCGTGACCACGACAGCGAATCTGTTACCATCGCGGCTGCGTTCGCAGGGTCCCATAATGTCGATAGCGACGACCTCCCAGGGTTCGGCCGGATCGCGTGGCCGAAGTGGAGCAAAGAGCGGAGCTGGCGGCGGCTGGCGGCGACTGGCGGGCTTCTCTGCCTTCAGGAGGGCCTCTGTCTGGACCGGTTCCACCCCATCGGAGGTAATGCGGTGCCCCAGGTATTCGATCGTCCTTGTCCCGAAGACACATTTTCCGGGGAGAGGCGGAGATCGTGCTGCTGAAGGCGCTCGAATATTAGACGGAGATGGGTCAGGTGCTCCTCCCAACTTCTGCTGAACACGACGATGTCGTCTAGATAGGCGATGGCAAACCGTCTCAGGTAACCGGGCAGCACCTCCTGGGTCATAAGTTTTTGGAAAGTCGCGGGGGCGTTCTTCAGTCCAATGGGCATCACGCGGAACTGGTACGTGGCTCCGTCGGGAGTCGTGAATGCCGTTAATGGCCTCGAGTCCACCGCCATGGGTATCTGCCAATACCCGGACTTTAGATCGAGCGTTGAAAATACGGTGGCCTCGCTCAAGTCCCGGACCGTTTCGTGTATGTTGGACAGGGCTGAGCACTCGTCTCTGGTCTGCTGGTTTAGTCGCGCCTGTAGTCGACGCAGAACCGGGTGCTGCCGTCTTTCTTTGTCACCAACACAATGGGGGACGAGTATGGGGAATGGCTCGCCTCAATCAATCGCTCTTCGGAGAGCATACGTTCCACCTCCGTGGCGATGATAGCCTTTTTGGCGGCAGAGTATCGGTACGGGGCGATGCGGAAGGGCCGGGCTCCGTCGAGCAACTGTAGGCGATGGTCGGTGGTGCTGGTTGTGCTGGTGATGCCGGCGGCGATAGGAGCGAATAGCTCGGGGAAGTCGTGTACGAGCCCTTTGAAGACGTCTTGGTGATTAGTAGGGAACGATTGTTGCAGTGCGTCCGGTCTCGCGGTGTTGGTGGTTTTCTTGACGAGGTTGCCGCGGAAGAAAACGGTGGACCGCCGTGAGCGACCGAAATGGCAGCAGCCGCGTTGATAGTCCATCACGGCGCCTTCTCTGATGAACCACTTCTTGCCCAGGATAATGGCCGCCGCCAGGCGTGGAACCACCAGGAAGTCGGCCTCGCAGCGCTCTCCGCCGATGGTGAACTTCAGCCTCGCGGTGCCCAGGATCGTCATGCGGGTCTCCGGGTCATCTTGGAAGGCCTGGCCTGGTTGGCGTTCATAATGGGCCACAAGGTCGGC